ATGAAAGAGAAAATCCATCTAACCGGGAACAAGCAGCACGATTCAATCTGTATTAGCGTGGCGGCAGCCCTCCGCCCTTATTTCCCTCGGGGTTCGTTACAAAGGAAAGCCTCAATGATGACAAACGTGTACCCTCTCAATAAACGAGGGGCTACTCTGTACTCTTTAATGAACGAACCCATTTTCTCCTTTTTTCCCCATTGCTCCTCGAGCGGGATCGATGTTCAAATGACCTATGCACCGTCGTACAACAATTAGAATCTTAGAAACAGGAGTCTCTCTTGTTACAGCAGTGGACTTTTTCCTTCACAGGGGAATTCACTTTTTGCCATAAGCTCTTTAGTGCCACGAGTTTCCCTTTAATTTCCCTGTGAACGATAAACAACTTTTTTACCATTAATTACAGTTTTATGGAAATATTTCAAACACTGCAAGAAATTCGGTTTCAAATACTTTTGCTTTATAAAAAACAGGCTTTTAGCTTAATGGGTTCTGAAATTTTTATGTTCATATGTTTGACAAATAAGGGTTCCTGTGTTTCGGACGTGTTCAACTTTCCGGAAAACTTTCCACGCAGAGACTAGTTGAATTTTTTTAAGTGGAATTTTGTTTTCTAGACAGACTGGGTAGAGCCACGGTAAGGTTTCAGTAGTGTTGATCCCTCTTTGATCAGACACATTGTTGTTTGCTTATTTCACGATCTCCCCTCCAATCTTAGACACGTTATCAAGCTTGCTTATCACATTTACTTCACTCGTTGTTTTCAAATTTATTAAATTAAATTTTTCATGATAATAAAAAAGTGTATTCACAAAATTTCGTTATTAAGTGTAACGTAAGAAAACTTTATTCTGTATTTGGACATAAAAGTTGATACAAGTCGTGGTTTAAAACACAATTTGATTTTTTTGAACGGTATTAGAAACTTTTTCAGGGTGCTTAATCTGGGATTGATAAAAATCTGTGCCCGTGGCCAGGTTTTACATATGTAATCCACGGGATTATCCCATGCGAAACAAAAAATTCGCTTCCTCCCGACGGCTACTGCGTCGCGGCTAGGAATTGGGTCATCCCTACTCTTTAAAATAGAAATTCATTTCTTTCCACTTGGCAGCATGATTAACGAGGTGTCCCGCGCGATAATGCGTTGTTGCGTGCAACACAACAACTGATCGCGCCCATTCAGCTTTGATTCCCCGGCCCAAAGGAATTTCAACTTAAATCGATCTCTTATCCCGCGGAAATTAATGAATCTCGCCTTTCGTCGATTTAAAATTCCTCGTTTCTACTGACTCATACGACGCAAGGCGATTTCAATTCAAGAAATCTAATCTACCCGATCGACGATTATTTCACCCCTGCATTAATGTACCTAACATTATTTTATATTCATGTATAAATCGTATATAAATTGTATTTTTCTCATATTGAATCCAAGTCTTGGCATTCTTGAAAAAATTAAAGAAACGATTGTAGGACAGTTAAGAATAGAATTGTTTCTGTAATTCGGAGCGTGTTACAGTGTGAAGAGGGTAGAATTATTCTGAGCACGGTTACAGAGTCAGAAACGAGGTGAACGTTTAGAAAATCGTTGACCGTATCCTTGAATCGGTTCCTTTTTTTTTTTTTTTTTCGTCGACGTAAGAGCCTTTCTATTTTCGAGAGACGACGCTAGCCACTCGGTTGGAAAAATTTCGCTCTGAATTCCTGTTACCCACTCGAGGGACCACGTTTTTTATTCGCGTATCCGAATGCGCGTCACGGGCCAGTGGTATCGGTCAATACGTGGTCGGGCATCTGATTAAATTTAGAAACGTCCCTTAATGACGATTGACAGTATCGACTGGTCGCGTACAGAAGTAGCCAGCAAACTGAGTGCTCGTTATAATTAATTCTGTTCCAGTAATATAATTGCAAGTAGTATTGATCGTTGGTAGTCAGACAGATCAATAAATTCGTAATTAGTTTACCTTTCATATAAAACTATTTAAGAGTAGGTTTGCCTTAAAGAGAAATTTATTGGAATTTGGAAACAATTTTTAACTATAAAAATTGTAACAGTGAGAAAATGTTTTTAATTGAGGGGAAAGTTCTCGTCGTTACTAGAAAGGAGGAGACCGTTTCTTTCTCTTTAGATGAATAGAAGACATTTAAGACGGAGTTCGTTAAACGACCAAAGAGTTGCATTGAAAATGATTCCCACAGGACTTGGGCATATCCTATTTTGAAGATTTCCACGTGGAGAACCTCGCCTGGAGAGCTCTGATTCATTCCATCTCGTTTTTACACCGGTTCTAAACACGCTCGAAATATTTCCACAAATGTACGTAGCAGAGGATTGCATTTTATATCCCATTGTCTTTCAGTTAAATAAACCTACGTATCGTCGTACACGTGGAAATGGACGGTGGAAAAGTTTCCCGGCTCGTTCGGCGACGAAGATATCCCTCGCACGGTTTAAACAGAATTTGCAAGGGAAATCGGGTCACTGCCAGAACGAAACAAACCCAGCATCGTTTCTCGCCAAGTGCATAATGCACTCTCACGTCGAGCAACGCCGTTTGTATGCAGTTTCGGCGGTAAGAGGCGTTCGCGCCGGAAACAAACTGCAATTCTGGGCATCCCCGACGGAAAGAGAGAGAGAGAGAGAGAGAGGACGCGCCGTTACTCCGCCGATGTTATTTCTCACGTCCACTTTTCTTCCTTTAAGACGCCCCTCGGTCGTGCTTGCCGTTCAACGAGTCGCGGCGTCAAGGGGTTGAAAGATGGCCTTCGCAGCTGTAAGTCAAAAGGATGATTCGTCTTATTCTCTCCGGCCCGACGGCTCCCATCATCGATTAATAAACGGGAAAATTTGAAATACTTCTACGTGTCAATTTGATCGTAATTGACGTTCAGATTCCACGTTTCCGTTCTTATCACTCGACGTTCACCGTCGCCACTCCGTCTCCTATTGTCAGAAGTTTTAACACTTTCGATCTGACCCAAACTATTTTCGTCGTACTTATAAAATGAGGATCGACAAATTTGAGATATTGTTTCAAACGTGTGATCGAAAACAATGAACGTTCGATTAATACAATCCTCGATATGCAGTTCTACCTCCGAGTTGCTAATTACGTCAGGCAAATATCAGGTTTCATAAAAAGAGTTTCAGCAATGAAACCGTGGAGAAAGCAGTCGTGAATTTTTTGGTCGTTTGACATCCGAGTTGTTTAATTAAACGATTCGGCAAACGTTTGTCTCCCCGGCAAATATTTATACGAACCTGCGGAAATCCGAGTGCGAAATTCATGCTCGATTAATTTACATTAATTCTTTTAGCCGTTACATTTACGTAATGGTTGCAGCGATAAATATATTCTTGAAATAAGAACAATCTGATACGACCACATCAAATATTAATAACACGTCGGTGGTTCTTGCGCACAGCAGTAATTAGTTATCAGCTTGGTTGTAACTGAATTGTTAATTAAAACGCACTAACGTACTGCGAATCTAAACAGTTAAATTACATATGCGCAGTTGGATCGAACACTAATTACACAATCAAATTGAATAATCAACATGGGGTTTAGAGAAATAAATTGTATACAGGATTCGTAATAAATTTGTATAATTTATGAGAATCTAAATTAATCGAAAAGGGGGCTGGTAGTAAATATAGCAAAGTTTCAGTAGTTCAAGTCTCC